GTGTGTGTGTGAGAGAAAGAAAGAGAGCCGGAGCTGTCCGCGGTGCTGCAGGTGCATCTGGAAAAACCAGTCTTGCTTGAAAATAACCTAAACACTAATATATTAAAACATGTTGTGACATTGGATTCTTAAGAAGTGGAAGAAATCTTCCTAGTGAGCAAAATGTCCATCATTAATGGCTTTAAATTCACCTGCAGGAGCTTGTGCTTGACTTATATACATATACACACAGTTTTCATTGACTACCCTACACTAATGTGAGTGTTGACAGCAGAATTGATTCTAAATATGTTTATATATAGTATAAATATGTTGGAGATAATGTCTCTTCGACGAACATCTTGTTTCAAGTTGTATGAACTTTTGTTTTTACTGCCATGGTGAGACAATTAAGTTTATTTCTTTTATTCAAGTCTATTCTATAAATGGGTTTTGAAAGGTTCTTGAAGTTGACTGCAGTACATTTGATTTTATTTCTGTGTAGTTAATGCTTTCAGTGTTTCTTCTTCTTCAAATCTTCTGGCTTACTTGAAATCTAAAAATCTTTTAATGAGACTCCGAGCCCAATGAATTAACATGAGTAACAAATGTTTTGTTTAAGGACAGGTGCCTGAAATTAGTGAACTTATCAACAGCGTAAAATAATTAAACTTTAGTTTTTTTCTTCAGAAGCCTCAAGAAGGAAAAAATAGTAGAAAACATTACAGACTGTGCTACCATGGTGGGTAATATAGACACCATTTGTAATGACAAAGTATTGTTGACAACCCTTGACTTATAAAATAATATGGGTTGTTTGTTTGAGTTGAACGTTATGTGTGTATGCATAAATTTAATTTACACTCTTCTGTGACGGGGCTTAACAGTGGACTCAAATGTATTTCACTCAGCACCTTTCTATGTGGTAGACCAGCGAGTTTTCCAACATTCTTGTAACGCAGTTTATGAAGAACTGCCTTGCACAATTACAGTGTTTGGAAGTGATAGCTAGGTTACAAACTTGTAAATGTGGACTTGAGGGCATGAAGGCTCTGCTTGTTTGCACTGCTCTGGCATCCAACTGCTGTGGAAGGGGAATGCACATTTTGCAAAATGAAAGCATATGAAAAGCTCGGCCAGATATAAGTGAGCAGAGACGAGGAAGAGAGCAGGCAATTGGAGCGCTGAGTAGCCCGGCTGGTTGTGCTGCTGTGTAGCGAGCGGGGCCTTTGAAAAAATGGCCAGCCCCTTCTCCACAGTGTTTAGGGACGGTGCAGGATGCCCGCTCTGATAGTGCCAGCTGAACACCCTTCCGAATTCTCCAGGTCTCCGTCTCTGTGTCCTAATCTCTTTAGGTGTGATGTGCCCTGGAGAGGCTTGAGCACAGCCCCGCGGGTACGCTGTTGTCTAGGAATGTGGAGTGTGGAAATGATGGGGATTATGGGAAGACTGGTGTGGGTGCCCATGCTCCACTATCACAAAGACTCTTGGCACCCATGCTGCTACCCCGTTGAGTCAATATTTTCCCTTTTTAGTATTGGGGCTGCAGAACTGCATCTCTGTGGCACTGAGATGGATGTTTTGGCTCAATATTAGTTTGAGTTTTTCCTGTGTTGAATGGTGTATAAGTGTGCCACCACTACTGAGAGAAAATGAGTGAAATTGAGAAACCGATGAGGGATGCGAAAGCGTGATGTAAAATGATGGCAGGTAGCTGGCGGCTCTTGCCAGGTGAAATGGAGCTGTGAAAACATTTAAGCTGTGCAGGTGGAGAAGTTCTGACTTCATGGTCCATTAGACTGATAAGAGTTAGGGCTCCTCGTGTGGCAGAAATTTAGGCATAATAATTCACTGTATCGGCAAGGTTGCAAAATACGTGATGCAGCCAGTGCCATCATTTCTGTTCTATAATCGTGCTGCATCGGGGTTCATGTTCTTGCTCTTCAGATGTTTATTTTGAAAATGTAAAAACACTTAACAGATGCATTGATGGAAAATAACCAGCTATACTCTGTTGCTGTTATAAATTTCTGGTTATAATCATTGAAAATAATTTAGCTTTTTAATACAGTTTGTTTCCAGGGCTATATGAATCTACCCTACATAGCTTGTATGCAGTTGAAGAAAGAGAGGAATCAAGGCCACTGTTTTATGGAATGGAGGAGATGACTACCCATCTAGTACCAGTAGAGGGAGCTGTCTTGAGCCTAAACATTTATCAATGTCATTTAATCTGAACCAAATTTCAATTTTCATGAGTGGGAGATGCAAACATTGGGTGAGAAATCAGTATAATTTGAAACGCTCTGGGTGTATTCTGGCACAAATGGGTTTGTGCCCAGATACATTAAAGCTTCCTCAAATAGCTTTTAGGGGTTTTCTTTTCACTTTGTGCTGTGCCTCACACAGAGCTTGTCAAAAAATTGTGCAACCGGCTCTTATTTTTACAGCTTACCTCATTTTGTGACTGTCACCAACGTTGCCTTTCTGTTTGTGCCCAACGGACTCAACGAGACACTGAGACATTGGGAGTGTGGGAGCAGAAGAGAGGCACGTAGAGCGGCAGAAGAAAGAGGAAGGGAAAGGACCCCGATGCATGGGGAGGATGGGACTGGGAGCATTATTCTCAGATCAGCATATGTGTGTCTTTGTGTGACAGAGCATTGGAGAGGGAGTCTAATGGTTTGTGCGTGTGTTTATATCTGTGTGTATGTGCTGGAGGAAGGGAGGGAGGCATCAGGGGAGAAGCGAGAGATGAAGAGAATGAGCGTGCCGCTTAGGAAATGTCACACTGGGAAGATTTGTAGGTTTTGATCCTGGCAAATTAATGCAAAACCCCAGTGCAAGTATTTGATTTGGGAAAACTTTGGGAGCAGACTTGTCTCTTAATAATAATTATTGGGTTTACATTAATTTCCTCCCCTATTCTCTTCCACAGGAGAGCTGATCACCACTGCTTGTGAGCTGGGGGTAAGTATTAGCTGTATTGTTTAATCAATTCACTCATTAACTCTTATAAGCATTAAGGAAGTTTAATTAAGCATGGGCAGAAAGCAGATTAATTTACTTTCAGTCCACAGGTTTTTCCCCTTCTTTTCTATACACTTATTTTACTAAGTTGCAAGTAGAGAATGCTATAATTTGCAACCCGTTTTTCAAATCCAATTAAAGTCAATGGTAAGGCGATGGCTTTTGTAGGCTTTGCCTTATGTACGGTATAAGGCTTATTATATCCACCCCTCTTTTTTTGTGTGTGTGTAAGCCGCGAAGAATGAACTAAATCGGGTTAACAGTTATAATAAGTTTTATTATTTAATAAAGTTTATTACGCCGCTGTGATCCTTTTAGGGAGGCTGTGTCGGTGTCACTATGCCAGTAATCCTGCCGTTAGTGCTGCAGTCCGTGTGGCCTGCCTGTCTGCCTTTCAGGCCTCCCCAGGGCCTCGCAGGCCGTCCCTGGGACCCAGGCTGCTGGCCCCCCCTTCTGATCCCTAGAGCTCCAGAATTCTGCTTCCCCATGCTCCCTGTGGCCTTTGTCCCTCAGCTTTTGCTGCACGTCTGTCCACTCCTGTCAGCCACATGCTCTTAACTGATGCTCATTTTGGTGGAGTTACCTACCTGTCTGACACCAACACCAAGCTGTCTGCCGAGTTGCTATCTTTTTTCTTTTACTCATTCTCCACATTACTTGTTCTCTTGCGCTCCTCGACTTCTCCTGACCTACACACTATACCCAGGCTGTCCCTCTGGTTTTGGCAAAGTTGTTTCTCTGTTTGAATGTAACCAAGGTGCCTTAAATCTGTCTGAGGTGACCGGTGAGATAGTCACACTCTCACCTTTCAGCTCTGTGCTGAAAGGTGAAGAGCTGCCCCTTCTCCCTACTTGCATGGCTTGTGTTATCAGTGCCAGAGAATGAGTCTGTGTTTAATGACTGAGCCCTTATCTGGGTGGAGGAGACTTAGCGGCTAATTGCTGTGATTGCCGAGATCCCCCAGGCGAGAATGACTGCGGCTCGGAGGTGGTTTGGGGGCTGGGGCTGGGGCTGGGGCTGGTGAGCACCACGTGCTCTACCATGGGCTCTAGGGAGCTGCACTGTCCTTGGGAAGAGGCCAGAGGAAAATAAGTGAAAGGAGGCAGAGGAGGGCTCTGGTATCATAGCAGAGTTATTTTGCGGTCATGCCAGGCGGGGCGTGTCTGCCTCTCCTCCATTACCGCAGCTCTACAGCAGACCACTACTGGCATCTACTGAGGGCAGAGCCACTAGATTTGCCACTCCGTCAGAAGGGGCTAGTAAAAATAACACATCCTACTGCTCTTTAACACCATCTGCTCCACTCTTCCTTATTTGTTACCTCCTATATTTTCATTCTAGCTTTGTATTCTTATGTTTATCTCTAGTACAACATCTGCACTCTCACCATCTTAGCCTGCTGTTCACTCAAGCACTGAAGCATTAACTTGCTCAAGTGCTGTTTTCTTGAAGCTGTGACTTTATCTCTCATTGCATCTCTGGATTTGGAGTTCATACTTTGTCATTTTGTTCTTAGGTGGCCCATCCTCCAGGATACCCTCTCTTCACCCTACTAGCTCGCCTGGCTATGTGTCTTCTGCCCTCGCTCTCCGCAGCCCACAGCATCAACCTGATGAGTAGTCTGCTGGGGGCTGCAGCCTGTGGTGCCCTCTGCATTTCTGTTTGCAGGTAGGCCCATTAAATAGTTTCTTATGTCATTTGTCGATGTAAAAATAATGCCTACACAGGGGTTTTTTAGTTCTCTCTCCTAATTGGCATCTACACAAGATGTGATGTCACACATTTGTGCTTGTATGTGTAAACTTAAATTACAGGAAAGCACAGAGAAGCCTTCCCCCTTCAGCAGAGGAAGCTGACAACAGCCTTTTAGTGACAAACTCTGCACATGCATTAATCTGTATAGCAAAAGTCAAACACGAGGAGAGTAACAATAACAGTTTTTGGCATTTTTTGAGTGGAGGGGGTCTTAAACATTCCCCTACTGACTTTTTGCCTCTTCATGCTATCTGGAACAGAGAACGGTATTTTTGGGTCCTGACAGACTGGCAGTGTCGTCCCTTATCCCCTGTTCAGTATTCAGGAGCGGAGCCCAGCCGCCCTCCTCCCTTCCACCACCCTGCCCTGCCTGTTTACCCATCAGCCACCCATTGTGAGTGTGCGTGTGTATGTATATCACAATTATCGCGCCCTCCAACCCCCACCTTGACGTCCCTGTTCTCCTGCCCTCCCACTGCCCAGCATGCTCCCAATCCTGACATGGCACGATTTCTTATCTCCCCCTTCTTGCCTCCTGGGTCTGAGAGGGAGAGGATCACTAACTGTGCTCCTCCCTCTCCCCTCTCTTCAACCATCTCTCCCCTCGCTCAGTTGTGAGCACAGTTTATGGTCTCTGCATTGCCATCTACCACCCTGCAGTTTCGCCTGCTGCTGACCCTATCATGTAAGGAGTATTTTACCCCTTTCTTCTTTGTGTGTGATTATCTCCCATGGTTGGCCGCACTACCTTACATCACCCATTTGCTGATCTTAGTAATTTTCCACATTGCATTGTTGGTGGCAGCTTAGTGTCAACATTTTTCCTTTTTGTAACTGTTTATGCATACTGGGGCATTTCCAAGCATGTCATATACTTCTAATTTGCTCTTTCAGAATAAGAATTGTTGAATATGATGTCATTTCTTCTTGCTGTACACCTTGGCAGGTTGTGAGGACCCAGTGATTGTAGGGGGAAAGCAGGTGAAAAGGAAGTTGTGTGTGTTCCCAGATGCTCAGTAACGAGTTTACTTCCTGTGCTTGGCCAGTGTGTGCTAGGTGGCAGGTGGTCTGGAGTAGGTCAGGGTACAGGGTCATCCCTGCTGCAGTAGGGCACAGGCTGGGGAGGAAGTGCTCCCCAGGGGACTGGCCCTAAGCCCAGACTGCATCAGCCTTAGACCCTGCCCCGCCTTTCTGCTTCTCAGAGGTGAATCAAAATCTGCCAGTTTCAGCCACGCTGCCTAGGACCGGACAGGGCAGGGGAGAGGAAGAGAATAACGAGAGGACAAAAATAGATAGAACACTGTGCTTCTCCGGGGCTTTCTGAATTTGTATCCCAACTGTCCCCCTAGTCTCACTGCATTCGATGAGTTACCAGTCAATTGGACAATTAGACTCAGCTCTTGGCCAGACATTTAGAGACAGTTATTTTGGGGCCAAAAAATATCCATGCAGTCTGGGTGATATTTGGCTCACAGTGTGCATGTTAACTGTAGCCCTGTTTGTAATCTCTGGGGATTTAGATCCAATTTTGGATTATGGTCAAGTTAAAAGTCATTATGAGGACCTCCAACCCCACCCACCGCCCCAAAAAGGGGATGATGGGTGGTGAGGACTTCAGCCAGAGCACATAGTCACACCAGATAAGCTCTTAAGTATGAACGTATAATCTACGCTTTCAATTTGAAAAATAAGCATAAAAGGTTTTAGTCATTATCTGCTCAGGGCCCAGTTTGGGATGAGCTTGTGGCTATGGATCAGTTGGCACACTCTGCCTGGTGAGGGGTTACTGGAGAGGGCAAAAGATGAGGAGGGTGAAAGGCGGGGAGAGGGTTTCTGGATGGTCAGGACCTCCCTCTCTGTTCTGGCATGGAGGGCATTGGGTGCTTTGACCATACCAAGAAGATTGGCATAGATGTCATGCCACATCCCTGCGGGGATCCTCTGGCCAGGCCTTTCCTTCAGATGAAATGCCAAAACTTACCAGTTGACACCCGTTCATACCTGCTCTGTCCTTGCAGTGACACTAGTTAGCTGTGTCTTTTTCCCAACATAATTAAGTTCTGAAATGTCTTTTGTTTGTTTTCTTGGCCCTTTCCCTTTATAAACTTTTTTACCGCTTCTTATTTTTAGGTTTGCATCAGCTGACAAGTTTCCCCCCCCCCCCAANNAAGTTTTTCCCCCCCCCCAAACAAATCATCGCTTTGTGTGATTATTTTCACATGGCAAAATATATTGGAGTTAATACGGGTACTTGAAGGCAGTTTCTCTCAAATAGTAAATTGTAAGACCTTGAAATTCATCTGGAGTATACCCAACATGGCGAGCCTTTGATGTATCAATTTAAATTAGTCGGCCAGATTGCTGTGTTTAATGTGGGGGAATGTAAGTTGATAGGCTTGGAAGCCACTTCTCTCTCTTGCATAAGTTTAAATGTAACACTTAGCCTCTCTTTGATTTGTCAATTACACTTCTCTTGGCTTGATCATATGGTTTGATGGCCAAATTGCATGTCTTTTTATGTTTTCACACCATGGCCTGACAAGCCTTTGAGGATGCTGGACGTAATGATAATTACGATCGATTGCACTCGGAGGTTCACAGAAAGAAATGTTTGGCCCATGGAATGCTAAAGGCCTCAGCCATGAGTCTCTAGAGGAATGCACCCTTCATAGCGGGATAATCCAGACAGCTCGGTATTCTGTGCTTTCTCGTTTCACAGTTTATCTGCTAAAGCTGCTCTGAATCTCTGCTACCTGGGAGGAATCTCTCTCCGTTTCCGAGCTTATCCTGAGCAACCAGGAGCAGACACGTTAGTGCGCTGACAGCCATCAGAGTACAAAAACAACCTCCCAACACTCAGTCATCAGCACTTTTTGTTTGATCACATGATTACATAACGGGATTGTTGAAGCACACCAAACGTATTTGGCCTACCCTTTCCCTGGCGGCCCTAGAAACAAAATGCACACCTGCGAGAGGCTCCCCCGCCAAGAACTGGCCCATGTGGCACAGCTGATACCTCAGTGGACCGGAGGGTGGGCGTGGTGCCATCCCCTGCCTTGTGCTGCATCCCCAGCTCCTTATAAGGACCTCCACCATATGGTCCTGATGGCGCTTTCCCTCCTCGCTCAGGTGGGTTGTTTTTCCACAGGGGTGGGGTTGCGTGTATCTTGTTGGGGTCATGTCAGGAGCAATGTGTGTGGGTATTGTTGTTTTGCAGCCATTTGCGTAGCGTCTTGAGTGTGAGTTGTAGTGTCTTGGAAACAACTGAATAGAGTTGTTTTGTTGGATAATGTTCTCACCTCTCCCGGCAGGTGGCAAGGCTGCCCCTCCCTCTCACATCTGCTATGGTTGGATAAAATCTTCATCCCAACTGCCAATAGAGAATCCAGCCATACCGGTTTTCTTCTGAAAATGCAGAAGACAATTTTAGGGTTGTCTATTTAAAAGGCCCCAATCTCTGGACCTTTTGTTCCATTTCTGCAGTATCTCATCCGTCATATTGTAGTCCAACAGACCTCTTTTACTCCCCCCACATCCTCAGCATGACCAATGGTTCCCCCAGGACTCATCCTCTAATACAGTTAAACAGATGTCTAATGAAGATGTTATTTCCTCATTACTGGCTATGGGATGGGGATAGAGAGGAGGAGGGAGGAGGGCTAGATAGACAGCAGAATACAGTACCAGTTTAATATTCCTTTCGCCCGTGGGCCCGAGATTGTGTCTGCCTCGGACGTCAATATTACATTCCTCACCCACCACAGGCGGTCTTAATAAGGCACCAGGCACGGAGACGGATCAGACTCGGCAATTACAATTCACCCAGAATTAGTTAATGGAATCTATACAGCAACATTTATGTATCACTGGTGTGTGCCTAATGACTTTGTTGGAAAAGCGGCAATAAAAATGGCATTCAGTGAATTGCATAAACACAGGATTTTTGTAAATTGTTTTTTTTCCCCTCTTCCTGTAATTTTTGTGTGTTGGGTGGAGATTAAGATGGCATTCTGGGAGAAATTGTCATGTCAGTGGCTGCATTGTTTGAGCAGAATTGTGGTGATTAATTTTACACGCACTTGGAGCACTGGAGTGCTCTCCTAGAGGAGGGGTTTCTGAGCGGCAGAGCCGGGACCCTTATTTACCCTCCTGTCTGTGCGAGCAGACAGCATCCTCTTCGCACAACGGATGAGGAAGGAAAGACAGGGAAGTGCCTGGTTTTGGTGGCTAAAAATTATGTTGCGGCATCCCATATTTAAATATATTGTTTTGAAAGTCGGTTCAGAAAAGGATCAGGGCCAGGCAAATCTGAAAGGATACATTTGTTTTTACCTCAAAATTACTTAATGTGACAATTGACAATTGATGTGATATTTTGGTGATTATTATTGGTTTTAATTTCACTCCAGATAATTTTGAAAAATGAAAATGATATGAAAGAACTGCAATCGTACATAGGGTATTTCACTCAGATAGAACAACTTAATAAGTTCATAATATCATATATCAAAATATAATGATTTATCTATAAAAAGGACTGCTGAAATCAATATCATGATATAGGCAAACGATGGCACGATAGTATATAGATCATGCAAAATACATAAAAAATGCAAGTGCAATTAAATATGTAGCACTGTTATGCTCTTAAAAAACCTTTTATAAAAAACATTATAACGTCATTTTGTAAGTCTTTAATTACAATTTGCTTGTAATTATTAATTTAAAGGGGCACTCCGGGGAATTAGTTTTGCACTTCCATAAAGTTAGGGGACTTACAAGAGATACATAAAACAGTCAAAATCAAAGCAGCAGAGGCTGAGATATTGTAATATATATAGAGTCCAATATAGGTCAAGACACCAAAACACTGGATCCTACATTTCCCATAATGCAACTCAACAGCATCTTTTGTTTAACCCTCCATGTCTTTCCAGCTTCATGCCACACGTTTTATTAACACATGCTTTCTGCTAATGTGTAGTCTCCAATTGCAAGACAAAATAATGATGATCTTGGGTCTGGTAGGTGGTAGCTCACCGATGCTGCCCGGGTTCGATTCCAACCTGCAGCCCTACGTCCTGTCCTGTTCTTGTCTCTTTACAGCTGCTACTTTTAAATAAAGGCAATAAAAGTCCCAAAAATAATCTTTAAAAAAAATGTTTTTACTTCATAAACAAAATACAGTGTTCGTTTATAAAAACAACTACATTTTCTAAAATGATAACGCGATATGGTCATATTGTAATGACACAATTTGACTGAAATATTGCTCAGCCTTAATGCATACATTAAAGTGCCTTTATAACACCATATAGAAGAGTATTTGATTTCCTGACACATATACGTAACATTTATCATTTAAAAGCTTAAATTTGTATATGTCAATTGCTGTTTGGCTTTGAAATTTCAAAGCAGTGCATCAGACACTTACCACTGTCATATAATAGCTACTAAGTACCCTGGTGTCCTGGCCAGAGGAGAGCCCTGGGGTCTCAGGAAGGGCCAGCTGGAAACCTCAGCCTCAGCCCGAGCAGGCCACCTCCTCTCTCGGGCTCTCTACCCTCTTCAGGAATGTGTGATTCTTTTCCAGCGCTGCTTCCCCAAACCACCACTCGGTTAGAGAACAGTGCATTGCTGATCCGCGATGGCACAGCTGTGGTATTGTCTGTTCCCTGGGGTGGTGTGTGACAGTGGCTCCCTTGGCCAGCTCCATTGTGAAGCCTCATTCAGTTCAGAGTGCTGGTGTAGGCTTTTTGTATGCCGTTATTTAGCACAGACGACTGATGCTGGCACGTCTCTGGCAAATACTGAGGGGGTAAATGAGGCAGGTCCCATTTTGACACTTCAAAGTGATTTTACTGAGCTTTTGTTGTGTCCTTGAAGGGGACATTGCCATTGTCATTTATTTATTTTTTTATTTACCTTTGATCTTTCCATTTGAAAATGTGTTCAGAAGTGTTTTGCATTATTTTCTCATTTTTCCTATTTCGTCATTTTCATTCTTTATTTGTATATTTTTTTTTGGCAAAAAAAAGTTGAATTATTTGTAATTTTCTTTTCTACCCATTTCCAAGTTTGTGCTTCATTCCAGGCCATATGCATATATTTGTCATTCAGTTAATTACCCAAGTGATGACACAGACATTTTGGCAGGGTGGATCAGTTCAGGGTGGAATAGTCTCGTTGTCAGCTGTGTTATTCTCCTGCCACGTCTCAGCCAGGCCATTGTCACTGAGCCACAGCATTTCAGCACAGCAGCGGCATCCTGCACTGCATTGAGTTGTGATAACAGGGAACACGGCCACACTGGTGTCAGAATATGTCCTGCTTTATCTCTGCGCCCTGGGAGCAGCCAGCCTGGTGAATGAGCTGTGGAGAGGCTGAGAAGGCTGACTGGGACCCAGGTGGTCCCGCGCAGACAGACAGGTCATTTACAGCCTACAGTGTACACACATCACTGGGCTCTTACGGACTGACAAGCTCTAACAGAGAGATTTGTCAGGCACTTGGGGAGAATAAAGAAGTTGAAGAACAAGAATGTGTGTGCGCCCATGTTTGCGCGTGTGTCTATCAGACGAGGCTTCAGAGGCAGGAACGTACTTGGTGTAATAACCTCGTCCGCGGACCCCCACGTCTGTTCTGCACCCAGTGCTACCCCAAAAGCAGCCCCCCTGCTTGGTGTATAAGCTATGGGTTAATTGTCATGCAGGGAGGTAAAATTATGGGTGCGGGGGGTCTCTGCACCTCAACAAAAGTCCCCATCTGCCCCCCACCCCACCCTTCTTCATCCTTCCTTCAAGTTACAACTAATTCCTGGAGCGGTGCAGCAAGAAAGACGCTGCTATCTCTTATTAAGACCCACTCCTAGACGCCTCATCAACACAGGCCGCCCCCCCCCTCCTTTTAAGTGCACACACACACATATATACATACTCATTCACCAAGCTCGCCTTACAGTGAACACAGAGGAAAAATAGTGGAGAGAAGGAAAGAGAAAACCCAAGAAAAAAAGGGGAAGTAGTCAGCAAGCAAGAGTTTTTTTCCTACCATCCTCTCGCTCTCCCTCTCCTTTTTTTCCTGATTTACCGCGCTTTCCTCAGAAAGCTCCATTGTTCCCCTAGCCTAAGTCTCATCAGGCCTTTTGTGGCTGACTATCACAGCGGCAGGCAGAGAGCTGGAAATGTATAAATGGTATCATGCCTTGTGATTAATGGCGGTGCTTATGAGTCAGGTCTGATAACGGGCCTGCTCTCTACTCAATTTCAGATACCGTTAATGGAATCTGTCTTCTGCGATTGTAATGTGAGAGCGCCTAATTTGCTATGGAGCTTGAAGCTGTCACCGGCAAGGGATTGTGGGGTCATAAGGGACCTGGCAGCCGTTTGGCCTGCAGCTTGTATCTGCGGTGCTGAATAGAGCAGCTCTCTGCCTGTCAGTTAGCTGATAGGCTGATGAGGACTCTAAGCCACTCCACACAATGGTGGAAAGGGCCATACTGCCTGACTTCCCTAATTGTCGAGCCTGCTCATATTTCAGAGCCAGCATGCCGGGGACTGGGCTGCGTTTTTTTTTTTCTTTTCTCTTTTTTCCCCTCTCTCTTCTTGAACTTTTTTCTTCCTTTTTCTTTATTTCATCCTTTATCCCGCACACTGTCTCACCCCTTTTAACGCACACTTCTCTGCACTATTTTTCTTTTCTTTCCCATCTCTCCCAATCATTTGTCGCCTCTCTCTCTCCCCCTCTGTCTCTCATTTTAGTAAGTGGTGGGTCTTAGCGTATGACAGATTATCCCAAGTTTGCTTCAATTACTGCAAAGGAGATGGAGACAGTACAGGAGAGGAGGAAGGGGAAACTTTTGTGCACACATTATATTTAAGAAGCTGAGGATAAAGTGCTATCTCTACCACGGTGGTTTCTGTGCCAGTCTGCTCGAGATCAACCGGCTGCTTGGGAAGGAGTTCTCATGATATGTGAATGGCCCAATTCACTGAGTGTTTTTCAAGGTCTTGTCCGAGAAGCAAACTTGGGTTGAAGGAAGATTATAATGGGTCCCTAAATTAGTTTGGGGGAAGTGGTGGCTTCTTTGACAGCATTTTTTTAATTTTGTGTGAAGCTGCTGACTTTGTTGTTTTGCCTTTTTTTGTGTCAGTGCAATGTAACTTAGGTCAAATTATAATAAAAACAACATGAAGTTCTGTTGCCTTTAAAACTGACTACGAACAAAAAGTAGGGCTAAGATTGATATTTGAATATTTATAAGATGTTTTTTTGATGATTCCAGCAACCACTTAGTGAAAAATGAAATCAAAGTAAAATGAAGGCCTCTCCTCCCTCACTGTCAGGTTGGCAGGTCCTGGTCCTGGAGCAGTACTAGCTGGGGGGCTGTTTGCTGTGTCCAGGCTGAGTTGGCAGTGGTCCATGGTGGCGGAGGTCTTCACCCTCAACAACCTTTTTGTTGGTCTGCTCTTCTTCCTGACTGCCAGCTTCCACTGTGCTGAAAACGCCACCCAGAGGGGGAAGGTAACTCAGTGCGGCACACTCCCACCCTCATAAGGGGACCTGTGTCTTTCCTCTGATCATTCATTAGATGCCTTTTTAAGATAACTTTAAATTGAACTCACAGTGCCACACTGCTTGACCTTGTCAGATTGCACATTGGGGAGCGCTGTTCTGTGGCTTGGGGCTCTGTAACCAGCACACCCTGGTGCTGTATGTACTGGTCATCATTCCCTGGGTCCTTCACCGACTTCACTGTCACAGGGTAAGTTCTGGGGTCTTATTTATAAAAGTTCACAGAAGAGATTCTAAATGTGTGTTTAAGGAACCCCAACACAGGCAAGAAAATGCTGTATGTACAGATGTGTGCAGTCAACAATTATAGATCCCATAGTCTCACAGATGAAAAGATTCCTCCAAAAAACATTCTTTATTTCAAATCCAGTTTCTTTGTCAACCAAAGTGGGGTCAGAAAACCATTTAATTTTCTCAGAGAGATCTGAGATGCTTCAGCAGGTTACCAACGAGCATTGACTTGCTATACTGTAATCAAATCATGTGAAATAACAAAAATCTTGTTTTCTTGAGACATCCCACTGTGAAAAAAATTGAGAACATCTCTTTTCTAAATGTTCTTGTCAGGAACTGTCTTTGCGTCGCTTTGTGTCTCTGGGAGTGTGTTTCTTCGCTGGCTTTCTGCCGTACATCTACCTGCCCATCTCTTCCTACCTCAACACAGCCCGCTGGAGCTGGGGGGATCAGACCACCCTGTCGGGCCTGCTGACCCACCTGCTGAGGGCTGAATATGGCACCTTCAGTCTGGTACATGTTGCTTGCTCCGCTATAATAAAACTAACACATTACTCTAGAGGTTTTTTTTATCATGTGCCAATAGTCAGTATATGTTCTCTTGACATTTTAACCTTTTATATCAATGGTCTCCATTGTATTGTTTTTATGCAGGCAAAGACGGAGAGTGCTGTAAACCTGAAGACAATGCTAAAGTAGGTTTTTTTCAGCTTTTTGTTTATCTTTCTTGACTAAATTGTTCACCCATTTGAAATACATCCTCAAAAATGGTCAGACATTGGGAAGGTGTGGGTGGAGAATGTTTCTGAAACTTACAGCAGTTCTGAAGGAGTATACTGTCCTGTTTAGTCTGCGTCCATACTTAGAATCTATGTGTCTAAGTAGACAGTAGAATCTAAGATGGAGTAGGAAAGCAACAATAGAGAAAAGCTTTGATCTAAGGCAAAATGAGGGCACACTTGGTTCTAAAGATGGAGGACCCGGCCACTTCTTGCTCTAGCTCTGGTGTTTTACACAGGTTTAAGCACAGACTCTCCAATCTGTTCTGAGAGCCCAGAGTCATTTCTGCAGCCCATCTCTCTCTCCCTCTCTCTTCTCCCCAGCAGCTTTTGTTCTTCCCATTCCACTCTCTCCCATCAAAGCAGAACTGAACCTGCTTAGAGGGCCAAATCGCTGTGTTCTGTTTCTCCAGCAGTTTGAAATGATCACTCAGCTCTGGTGTTTAAGCGTGACAAGCTGTGATGACAGACACTGCAATAGAGCTGGAGAAATTGTATTTTTCCACTCCAGCACACCCCCCTACCTCCCCCCAACTTGATTCCCTCCCTTTCTCCCTGCCACCACCACCACCGCAGTCATCCCACTCCTGGTATCTTTCTCCAGCTGACGGGATGGGGGGGTGCATGTGCGTCTTAAGACCCCCCTCTACCAGCCCCCCCTCTGCCATGCACCCACCCCTTCCCATCACCCCTGCTGTTTGATGGACAAGCACACCTTCAAGATGGGGAAGAGAGGCGAACATGACAGGCATGTCGCACTGGAGACGTAAACCCACTGGAGAAGCTGACACACACACACACATACCCTCAAACACACGCTCGTGAGAACCATCACACATAGTGTACATTGGGAGATATAGAGACTCAATAAGCTGTCAAATAGAGATGGGTATTAAGGAAGAGGCAGGAAACTATCTTTCTGCTCTGAGCAAGCGCTCTGTGACTGACAGGCGCTGTGAGGAGAGGATGGGGCAGCGGGGGGGTGGATGACACAGTCATTCGTATCTGTCAATCCAATTGAAAGGAGGAGTGCACAGTCCAAGGAGTTTGTTTTGATAGGGGATGGAGGGCATTTAATAATTGCTGTCCTTGAGTTCAGTAGCAGGGAGGGTAATTGAGCTTGTCTTTGGTGTCCATCATATGTGTTACATGTGTGTTTGTGTGTGTGTGCAGGGCTCAGATGGACCACTGCCTTGCAGACCTTTCGCTTCCCGTTCTGGTGCTGGCAGGAACCGGCCTCTTCCTCTCCACATGGGACAGGTAGGATGAGCGAAGCGGCGGTATACAAAACACCAAACTCTGTCACACACATCTCAGCAGCCACTTCAACCAAAAATCTAATCCCCCTGGAGTAAAAGACAAGGAACAAAACCGCTGACAAAATGCTGATCTTCGGAAAAAGGAATACAAAAAAACACTGAGACACCTAACTGTCAAGCTGTCGCAACGCTCCACATTCAAATCAAGAGAGGCTGATGTGTATTTTGGATTTTCAAATCCAAAATTTGCTTTGTTTGTGTGTACAAGTAAATCACTGCTTATATGTATCTGCATGTGGCAGTGTGGCGGTGTGATCCAGTAATTCATTACAGCAGTGCCTTTTCTGAGATCTGTGGGGTGGAGCTGATAAAGCCAAGTGAAGCCCGAAGCTCTGTAGGGCACCGACTACCGCCTGCTTCCCCCTTCTCCTGAGGTTCACTTTGATAAACTTGGCTGTATGCACACACAGATGAAAAAGAGCAAGGTCATTTAATAGAATGCCAAAGGGATACGATTTGTGATGGCTATTATTTAAATAAAGCAAACAAAGTATTATTACTAAAACATCAGCATTTGTTCGTTACCCATTGTGCATAATGTGAAGAAAAACCCAAACAAAAACATAAACTTGTCAGTAGGTGTTACTGTAGTAGCCAGTCAGTGGAACCCATCAGATCAATGTGTTGGCAGGAAAACCAAAAGTAATTTTCTCTGGCTTGAAAGTGTCTCTTCAGGTTCAGATGATGATTTGTTATTGCCATAAGGGTAACATGTTTTCTTTTTAGTGTATAAGTACATTTTACAGCTGTACTGTAATGAGTTTGTGATTCAGCAGTTGGCAGCAGCTCATTATGACTCAGTCTGCATTAGAAAATCAATCATGCACCTCTTAGCTGGCTGGCGTGTGCATTTGCTCCCGGGCTTGTGATCTCCATCCTGCATTAATATTTTTATGGACGTCTTCAAAACAAGTATATTTTTACAGGGTAAACAGACAAAATAATACATTAGCTTAGATATAGGGAAATGACAGTCCGGGAGTAAATAGAACAATATTGATGAAGATAATGAAAATAAGTGTGAATAACTTGTGGCCTTTGCTATCCTAGGACATGTCGCTCAGTTTCCTGGCTGTTGACTGCCATGCTGGTCGTCTACTCACTTTTTTTTGCTTGGAGAGCCAACCTGGACATTAGCAAACCCCTACTGCTTGGAGTGGTAAGCTATGAGCCTACAGCTCACTTTGAAGCCAACCTGTTATTGTTTTCATTTACCTGCAGTGATCTAAAAAGACACAAACATATAAACATATGAGAAATTTGTATAAGCAGTACACACACCCTGAAATAAAAGCATTGAAACAGCAGTGTATATTAGTGCTGATCCTGGAATGTAATCTTTAGTAAATCTAGGACTGGACTGAGAATCCCGCCCCAAAAAACTACAGGAAACAGTGACGTGTGTGTGTGTGTGTGTTTGTCTGTGTACACGGGTACGCTCACTCTCTGCAGGTTGAGCGTTTCTGGCTCCAGAGTGATGCTGCAGTGTGTGTGCTGGCAGGCCTCGGTTTGAGCCGGACACACAGTGAGCTGGAGAGGAGGCTGGGCCGTGGGGGGTTATGGAAGACCACAGGCTGGGTCCTCACCATGGCTCTTCTGGCACATATGGTGAGCACCAATCACAGGTGAGCGTTGCACTCAGTTACAGTAACAACTTCCTGTTGGGTGTGATAAAAACATGGAAATATTAGAGCAATATTGTTATGTGCTTATCATTTTTTGGGTACACAACAGCAGATTTGGTTTCAAACCAATTAACCAACACAACCATTAAAATGCTGACTTTAAGTTTTAAAAGTTTTGTTGGTGTTAACAATGCATTTTGGGTAAACAGTGTAGGACTCGTAGTCCTTTTTGCCCTTGAATGAATTTTTCATTGCAGAGTATGGAGCCAAAAACACACTGTCCAAATACTTACAGTTCCACTTCCACTGCTGATGAGTTGCAGTTAAAAGTCTTGTCTCCCATAATTATTGCAGCTGCATTGTATTTTCATTTTACAGGCTATTAGTAATCCCAAGCTAATAGTGTTTTTGTGTTAAGTATCACTTGTTCTTAAGTTTCTTTTGGTTTTCCTGATCTCAAAAAGCGGTCAGATTCTGTACAATCTGTGCATTTATCTGTGGAATCATTTTTACTTTACAGTATTCATTTTGCAGTAGCTACATCGGCTCCAAATGTGTCCTAAGTTACTTTTAAATTCTATACTTCTGTTTAGCAAAGTTAAAGTAAATTAACAACTCCCCTCTCATTCTAGTTCCTTCTAAAATCCCCATGCATAAGTTTTTACTGAGTCAACCTGATTTGTTTCTCCTCTGCGCTTCATACCGCAGGTCTGAACTCCACATGTCAGGTTTTTTTCTCTGCTCACCCCATGGTAGGGGCTAAAGAGAGGCACGGTTAGCACATAGATTCCACTCAGAGAGCTCAGTCTGAGATGTTAGCTGTCCGAGAAGGCAGATTACACCAGCGTAGTGCTGGGGATTGCCAGACAGCCATCACTGAGCGGCTTTGATCAAGGGGAGAGCATGGCCTGTGCTGTCAGACCCATCACACCTGTCTCCCCACGATTAGATAGGCAGCCAGAGCGCTCTGCAGAGGGGAAGGGGTGGGGGCACTGACAACTTACCCTCAGAGCACCTTGAAAGCGTACCTACAAACAGGGACTCACTCTCACACACACACACAGTTCTACTCACACTCCTAAGCAGGGGTAAGGATGTACTCAAGCCCTTATTAAATTTGAGTAAACACAACTTGTATTTGGATGATGTTATGCAGTATGATGGTATATGTCTGTCCCTAGGGAGTGTGATCAGAGCAGAAACAGTGTGGTCGAGAGGTTCGGCAGAGAGCTTCTGGCGTCTGTCCCAACAGACTCAATCATCCTGACCAGAGGAGATCTGCCTGGAAACTCCCTGCGCTACTTATACTACTGCCAGGGTGTACGGCCCGATGTACGGCTGGTCGACCAGGAGGTCAGAGCAATGATTTCTCCACTGTCTTGTCTTTGTTGGGTCTTAGTGTTTATATTTGATACAAATCAAAAGTAAGAATTTAGTATTATTAAAAACAGTTTAATTTCAGAACCAAAAAAGTAAAAGTTCCCTCTGGACACAGTTAAGTTCAAGTAGTATTACAAACTGAGGTATAAAAAAAAGAAACACTTAGTGGCCCACTAGAAAAACATACTTTAACTATTATATTGCGTAAATGTTATTTTCTTTGTCTTTTATGTTATAAGCTGAGAAATTGTATTTATGACAATGTTTCTTTAGGTTGTTAAGTAAGAAAGACAAAATTCAGGATTTCTTTATTTTTAAGAAAGAAAAGATTTGTTTGTTTATTTCTCGTAAAATGGCAGTGTACATTGACTGTGTGATAAATGACTGAAATTCATATAAAAACACATAAACTATAGCCTGACCTGTCCAAAAGCCTTTTGCATGCTTTTTTAGTTGGGTACGTAGTCATTATTATAATCACAAGTTTCTATATGTTTTCAACATCACAATCATAAAGGGCATTAAGCAATGTAATTAAAATAAAGTAATAAAAAACCCTCCAAATTTAGACTCAAGTAAGGAAAGACAACCCCTTTGATAACCTCAAAATAGTCAATAAATCCATTTCTCTAAGTGAATTGTACACTGAGTGGTAATTTAACCGCTAATCACTCTGGATATAGAGAATTGAACAGACTTGGTGGTACTCTTTCTTCTTTGTAGATGATGACATACACATGGTATGTGGCCAAGCTGGCACAGCATCACCCAGGGGTCCGCTTCCCCGGGCGCTGGTGGGACCCGATCAACACTGAGGAGAAAGACACCTTCAGTCTGGAGCAGTTTCTGTCCCACAACACACAGTGAGTCACGGAGGGGGGAAGCAGAGAGAGAATAAAAGGATGGTCTGAACAGATAAATAGAAGGCTGGAAAATTGAGAGAGAGTGAATCAGGAGGGCAACAATAGTCCAAATGAACAAGTGGGTGATCTAATGAGGCAGAGATCAGTGGGATGGTCGACACAGCGGTGAGTGCTGGGAGAAGATAAGCCTGTAGAACTGTTGAGGCCATAAAAGGAGCTTGATGAACTACAGAAGTCGACTAATCTACTTGATTTGGTTAAACTTTATCTGGAGGGCTCACTGCTGCTCACTGCTGCTCCCTGCTCTCCACACTCACTCCAATAGGAATTGAGACCCAGAAACTGGCTGGAGACCTGTTAATACCAAGCCCACCAGGGGGCAGTGTTTGCCAGGCCAACATGCCTCTCTCTCAGTGGGGCAACACTGACCTGTGGGATTAACCCTCAGGGCCGGAGCCTTTAGTGAGCAGCACGAGGCTGGAGGGAAGCTAGAAGGTGTTGGGATGTGAGGAAATGTGTGTCTCTTCATCGGCAGTTACCTGGGACGAGATAGAGGGGCTGGTAACGATTGAGGACGTGAGCGAGCTTCTTTCTGATTGTTTTGCCGCAGGTGGGACGTGTTTGCCTGCATTGGGCTGCCTGACGGAGACCCAAGCTGGGAGCGTACTTTCTCTCGTTGGCCCATGGGTGTGTGTGACTACTTGGTGCCAGTTCAGAGGCACTTTCACCCTCAAGAGTGGGCCCATCGAACTCGCAACCTCTACAACTGGAGTGAGCCACACAACAGGTGCATACACAAGATGCAGAATCATTAATGTCTCTGGATTGTGTTTAACCCCTAAAGATACAGTTTCCCTCTTTTCCTCTTCTTAAATAGCTTAAAGGTTGAATACTTATTCCACACTGTTTGATAATAATATAAATACTCTGTGTCAGCTTCTTCCACCTCTTCATTGAAGCTATATGCTCTTTACACTGAGTGAACTATTTGAAGAGCCCATGTGTTTTACAGCAGCATGTGGAAGTGTTATATGTCTTGTGCATCATTTTACACACATTTCCCCATAGTTGTTGTGGGTTTGAACAACGTTTAGCTCCACAGCATGAGTTTGTAAAGACTGGCCCAGTAGCAAGTAAGTGAGGTTAATGGGGTTGAATTAGCAGGATGTCATTTCTGTGAAGCTTACTAGAAGAATTGTTACATTATTTAAAACAACACATAATCTGTAGATCAAACTAGAAATAGTCACTCAGAAAGATAATAACCCTCAGCTAATGTCTCCTCACCGCGTATTTCATCTGCAACATCTCCTCGCCCCCCCTCATCTCTCTGTGGTCTTCAGTCCTCCTTCCACAGACTCCACAGAGCTTCCCTCGGTGAGGTTGTCCTCTGTTCTTCATGCTGTGATCCAGCTCTTTGTGAATTCAACCAAAGCAAGACATTAGGCCCTCAGCCATTTGAAATGAGACTGAAGATGAAAAATAATGAGTTTCTTATTGCATTTTGTCAATAACTGTGTCAAAAGTGGAATTAGTCAAAGCTGCATATTCTGTTGCTGTTGCCAGCAGCCCTTCATTCACTCAGATATCCACGGCTGAATACTGTGACATTATTTCCCGCACCCTCACGACAAGCGTGTCCGCCGATGCCCACAAGCCAAATATTAGCTCGGGAACCCTGCTAAAATATTCTTTTGAAGAAGAGGTCAAGTGTTTACAGTCAACAAAGTGAAAAAGGGAGATGTGGTTTTACTCCATGTCTAATGTGCTAGCTGGTATTGTTGCTCAGTCATTTAATGTTTATGCAGAAAACATTGAGTTTAGTGTATCAAAACCTGCACCGTTGAGTGGAACAATATATTCACATAAATAATCATTTATAGTTAGTGGAACTGTGCACAAGCCAGCGCCTGAAGCTGTTTAGATAAAGAAATCTTTGTTTTTTTTTTTTTCATGTGTGAACAGTTTCCATCCTGCGTCCTGGGAGCATGTCGCTAATGAGGAGATGTGGCAAGCCAGGTACAGTAAACCTTTTTACAAAACACACTGGTATCCTTTTTGGAGAGGTTGTATACTTTAGTGTGCAGATAAAAAGCTGCGTCACGATTCATACCAGCCCGCTAGAACATCTCCATAAACCAGTCTTGTGTGGTAGAGCATCTACATGTACATTCTATTTGGTATCGGCATCTACATAAATCACTCCATTGGAGTGGTGCGTCTGTGAGTGTGGATCTGCATGGCTCATCCATCCAGCACTTAGCCCTGAGCCTGCGTGCTTTGTTTCAGGATGAAGACGGCTTTCTTTCTGTTTGACCTGGCAGAAGGGATGCAGGGAGAGGGGAAAGCTCGCCTCTTTGAGCTGTCTTACACTGTGAGTCTGACCTCAACAAACATACAACAATACTGTACAATACAATAATGGGGCAGATTTAAGTGCCACACAAGGCAAAGTATGACATATTCAGTGGCTTTTTTGTTATTTGCTTTAACATCTGCTTTTCTGTGTGTGTCTGTGTATATGGTCGTGTTTGCTGGGCAGCTGTATAAGGAGATTGTGGAGGCCCACTCAGACTACCCTCCAAACTGGGACAAGAACTTGGCACTGGCCTGTGAGAGACTGCTTCGCTCGGGTCACCGGGGCCACAGTCCAGACAGCCTACTAACCTGCTGCACCCAGCACTTTAGTCTCTACTTGAAGAAGGAACCCACGGACCCCCAGGCGCCCGCAATACGCTCGGCCATTACTCACCTGCGCAAAGAGAGAGACAGCCTCCGCCAGAGCCGGAGGAAGACCCCGTAACAACGATAGACCTACATGGAGCTGGCACACTAAGAGTGCGCCTCAAGCCCAGCCCGAAGTGAAAGGCACAGAGGATGAAGTCTGAATGTGCTTCTTGTTGTGGTTTAAAGGTGGTGTTCCAGGAGGATAGAATGATGTAGTGGTGTTTAGTTAAGGTTTTTGGCTGAATGGACTTGGTGTGGACTTTGCATGGAGGGCTGATGCAGAAGTATTGGTCTCACAAAGGACAGAAAGCGACCACTCGGCCATGCTTCATTTGATGAATGTTGACCAGGGACAGAGCTTGACTCCAGGAAGCCTTGACTGACCCCAATCAAGCTGTGCGTCCTGCCCTTAAACTCGCCCATTCGATTGCTTTATCGTTACATCTTGTTCTTTTTTTTTTCTCTCCTCTTCTGCTCTCACAGTTTTTAACGTGCTGATTATTTTTGCCTCAGCCACTGCTCTAGTTCTCTTTTTCTCACATTAGGAAGGCAAGGCCGAGATTGAGGGAAAACCAATTTGGGGGCAGAAATGGGGGATTAGAGCGGCTGTTTAATCTAGGACAGACTTGTGCTGTGCCACACAGTCCTCACTCCGCATAACCAGCACTACCCACCCACCCCCTATCCTTCCATCAGTCTATCTTAGATGGTCCTTTAAATGTTTAAAACTAATGGATTCGATGAGTGTTTTTTTTTTTTCCCCTCTCTTCCTTCCTAACGGGAGGGCTGTAATCCCTCATGGATTTAAATGAAATGTGAAATGTCACAATGCCAGGGACCCTTTTAGAGGTGCGTTTCTGTGTACAACGCGTGTATGTGTGTTGATTTATGTTTGCATGTCGACATGTGTGTGCGAACATGCTTAAATCTCCACCCAAGCCTTTTCCCTGCCCGGAACCACATATAAACGTAGTCAATAAACAGATCAGCACACTGGAAAGAGAGAGAAGCACAAAGTCATGCAAACTCCAGGGACACGCAAGACCATCAGCCTCCCAGCTCACGGCTCACAGGAAAATGGACTTTCAGCCCTGTGAGGGTTGCTGGATAGACGATGTAGCACGGAAACACTGCGAGCGAACCAGAGTCACTTGTCTTTCACGTGTTCTCAGGGTCCAAAACCTCAGTAACACGCTGTTTGTTTGTTTTTTGTATATGCCGGTGCTGATGTTAATGAACTTGTGCTGTAAAATTTGTCGCACAGAGGTCAAACCAGTGTATTGCCATAAGCTTTATAAAACACTGCTGAAAGAGCCTGCTGTTTGAGATACAACTAGAAAGCGAAGGACAGTAAGTGAATATGTGGTTTTCTCAGAATGTAATCTGCCCTCTCTGTTCGCAGGCCTGGTTAGCGGTTCTCAGCTGGCTGGATGATGAGATTCGACCTGCTGTAGCACAGATGAAATATTTCAATAAAGATTCTGTTTATTTTAACACATTTTGGACCCTTTTTACTCAGTGAACTTGGCCTTTTGAGTTACAAATGTTGATCATACCGGTTCGCAATCATTTGCCGTCTCTTGTCTCATGCCCTCTTGTTATTTTTTACTTTACTTTCTTTCTGTCCTCCCCTTTGTCATCCCTCTCTTGTCTCCCACCCTCTCATCCCCTCTCACCCTGTCTTTCCATAACCCCTCTGTTCCTCTCCTTTCCCCTGTCTCTGAGAGTCAGTTGCCCACCCTAAATCAGCAAGCTGCCGAGGATTGTGGGAACCCATGGAATCGCCGTGACCAGGGATGCAGGCAGGGAGCCACGGCAACGCTGGAATGTGGGGCGTCTGAGGAGATAAGAGCTGTGAGCCCAGCCAGGGAGAGGGGAGGGATGCAGCGAGAGAGGAGCGAGGGGGGAGGAGGAGAACGAGGCAGAGTGAGGAGGGTGAGACGGAAACAGGGAGAGCAGCAAGTCTGTGAATGGGGAGACAGAAACACAACACCATAAACAGCCCAGAGAGCAAGACAGAGAAAGAGGGGCGGAGGACTTAGGGGGGCACACACTGGAGATGGGAAGCCAGCCTTATTCCTCTTTGCATTTCATTTACATCCCTGGCCGTATCGACCAATCGGATTGGGAGCAAAGCCCAGGGCTTAGGAGGGGAATAAAAAGACAAAATGCCTTTGCTGCTCTCATCCCTCCCTGATAATACCCCTTCTGTTTTTCTTTTCTCTTTTTCTCCCGTCTATAAGTAGATACTGTCCGAAATGCCAGCGGAAAAGCGACACCTCCGCTTGCTGTGTATCTCAGATAGACTGAGCGGGAGCAGGGGCTGAAAAGACAGCTTTAGCAACTGGGCCTATCTCCTCTCCTCTCCTCTCCTCTCTCTGGCTGGATGGAAGCTTGGAGTGGAGGGAGGCGGAGGGCCGGGGTGTGTTGGTTGGTGTTTGGGAAGAGAATGGAGGGTGTGAGAGGCATGATATACTGAGCTGGCCACAGATTTTGCAGAATCTCACACTCTGGAAAAACTTTGCCCGCAGATCCCTTTCCTAAGCATGAGAAACCTGTTTCAAGGATGTTTACGAGGTGCCACCCATCTTTATTGGGGTTGCCAATGCCTGCTACCGAACTCCAAACGTATTTATAGCTTGGGATTGTTGTTATTCTAGTGTACTAAGTTGCAGGTTTATCTGAAATGGCAGCTCTTGTCAGTTGGTTGACTGTGTATTTTCAACACAGTGGAACCGTAACTTTAAAAATCTCTTAACATAATTAAAGCTATTGTTATTTTTGCGTAAATATATTATTTTCCTAAGGACTCATCAATGTGTATTGGGTAGAATTAGGCCCATTAACGTCTGTGTTGACATGATGTCATGATTGACATGTCTCAGGTTTTTGTTTGCTATCACTCTTGATGTGTGTGTTTCTCAGTGTGTGGTAGCCACTGTTTGTATGTCAGGTACAGTTTGTTTGCAGTTTTACTGAGTTTATTTGTCCAGGTGTTTGTAGTGCTCTCCATTGTGTTCCCTGTTTGTATTTGGGTTGCTATTGTGTCAAAATGGACAAAGTGTTCGCTGTTTGTAAGTGTCTTTCCTGAATTTAAAGGACTCTGCCATTGTCTTGGTGCTCACGTCTTTGTGTAGGCGCAGCCAGACTATTGTGCTGCCACTGGACCCAGTGCTGGCATCGCTGCTGATATAGAGCTTATTGAAAGTGATTGTTGTTGCACAGATGAGAGTTCATCTCAATAGGCGTTCGTGGCAAAGCATTCAGACACAGAGAGGGTCCTTTACCTGCTTCCGCCAGACGCATGTGAGAGATAAGGTCACCTTAGGACCCTGTGTGGACCCCCTCCACCTTCACAGCATCCTCATCCTCCTCAGCCCGCATAGCCTCACTCCTCTAGTAAAACAAACCGAACAATAGAGGCAGATATGTGAGGGATTAGAGGTCAGAGGGTTGGTGGAATGCGACATCTCCATTTCCAGGATCAATCTTCAACCGCTTGGTAATCTCTGGCCCCAGGACCCACATACCTCCAGTGGTCTCTCTGGCTGAGAGCTGGCATTGCCAGGCTGTGTGAGCTGGTACTCCTGCTGGGTGTGGGGTACTGATAGGATTTGGGGGGGGGTTATAAACTGATAGTGTGGATGGATGGAGGAGCAGAGGGATGAGTAACAAAGGGTCCTCGCTTTATATTCAAACCTCACCTAAATCCTTACTGATAGATGTGTAAATGCACGTGTGTGTGTGTGTATGACACATACAATGTTAACGTGTCTGTGTGTACATGTTCGTGAAGTTTGTTTTAATCTGTAAATTTGTAAATGTGAAATAACTTTGAGTTCTTTAGAGCAAACTGAATATTATCCCCAACTTCCCGTTGTTATCTTGTGTACACACATTTGTTTATTTGATACAGCCCCTCTCCACTACTGCACTTCTGTATATCAAAGACAGCAGTGCAGAGCCCAATTGAAAATGGCTACCGTGGAGAAAGGTCTCTTTCTGCTTTGACTGCGAAGAGGCAGAAAAAGCCCCATTCTCCGCTCCCTTCTTAGATCTATTTAAATAATTGAGGAGTAAACTGACAAATTAGGCACCTTTATGGACGCCCCTGGGCTCTCTCTGGGGTCCTTCAGTTTCCCCAATACAAGAGAGTGCCACCAGCCACAGGATAATATCTCTCTGTGCTTTGAGAGGGGGGAGGAGGAGGGTAGTGGACCAGGAGGGGTTTCGCCAATCAAGCAGGCCACACTTCCTCCCCCAGGTTCTAATTTTGTGCCACATTAAAGAGCTCGGCCTCCATTTAGGACACAGAGAGGCATTTTCATAATTTGCCGGGTCTCTCGACTAGCTCGGGGTGCCTTTTTTTTCCCCTCTCTCTCCTCCCTCTCTCTCTCACTCCGTGTCTGAATGGAAGGCCTGGGGAGGAAGAGGGGTAATTCATTCGCCTCCTTTCAACCAACCGGCTTCAGTTCTGCATAATGTTGCTGCTAGGTGTGTATAGCAGCTAATATTTATCTCTTCAATAATTCTCTATTAGACCGGAATATTATTTGCAGTATAAAAGCTAACACTGCTTATTGTCAGCTGTACAAAAATGGTATCATTCATGTTTTGTTGACACATTAAGGCCAATTCATATGTCTGTATTTAGCATTATGACTTTAAGACTGTAGTGAATCTAATCTATGACCATGCAACCATACAGCTGGGATGCTCGCATTGATTTAATCTGTGATGTAGTGTGCATACAGTGCATAATCTAGGTTAAAGTTGTTTCATTTCCTCGTTGACACCATCCATTCATGCACTACAGCATGCGTAAGCATTGATTCATATGTGATTGGTCACATAATTCACAGTCTCAGGGGGCATTTCATCGCTGACAGACAAGCTAATCTAAAATCCCCCAATTTACAAATGAAAATCCCACCATCCAATTGAGCTAATAGAGGGACTTGAATGGGATAATAAGATGTGGTGTAATACTGTGTAAAAAGCCTGTAATGTTGTGTTGGTGTAAGAGCCTGTGTGACTGGATGTTTGACTGTTTGCAGTGATTACAGGGGCCTGCGGGCCTGGCGGCGGCTCCGTGGCTGGGACAGGGAGCTTCTCCCTGGGCAAGGAGATACGCCTGTCTGCCCCTTCTGCTGGAGCTACAGGGACCAGGATGTCAGGAGGGGAAGAGTGCTCCCTGTGAGCTCCCTCTCTCTCTTTCACTCTGTCTCTTTCGGTCTGTCTCTCTTTCCCTCTTGTTCCCAGTCTCACTGTGTCTGTACTATTGCAGTGCTTGCAGATGTGCACAAACAAGGGAGGATTAAAGCAAAACGAATCTAAACAGACAAATGGAATTAGAGTGATGGGTGTCGGTGGGCTGGTTCACAGTGATAAACATAATGATGCTCTGTATGTGTGTGTCTGTGTGTGAGTGTGTTCCTGTGTCTAGGGGATTATCAGTGGTTAGGTGTGTGGTGTGTATGGCTGGGTGACTGCTTCTGGGTGTCTTTGTGTGTTTGCCTATCTGTCTATGTTTTTGTAATTATGTGTGTGTATATTTACTCGGTCCATACTTGTGTGTATGATAAATGTGTTTTCTACATTGCCTCACAAAAACAAGTTTCTGTGCCCTCTGCTTGTGTGTGTTTATATGTTTTCTCCGTGTTTTCCTTTTGGTTGGGGTCATATTCCTTTGTGTCTTTCATAGTGTCTGTTTGTATTTGTATATTGGAGCTGCTACCTAAGCCTGTATGTCGCTACTGGACATGAAAACATTTCCCCCAATATTGACACATGCCTAGAAAGATGTTTGTGGAATATGACAGTCTTGTAAACCAATCTTGCTGCAGTTTATGCACTGATGTTGTGTGTAGACTTGTTGTCTTGTTGCAGGGGCCTGTGTGTTTGTGCGATGAGGAGGTCAGGAGTGTAGAGGAGCCAGCAGGGGGGCAGTGATCAACAGACTGGGGCTCCCCTGCCGAGGGGCTCTGGGATTAGGGCTAAACCCTGCCCTGCCAGATGGGTACAACACATCTCCAACATCGCACACCAGCACCAGCACCAGCACCCTTAGGACTATACTCATCCTGACCCCTTTCTTCTGTGGAAACAAGGCGACTGGAACCATGGTGGATACTCAGGTCAATAAAAGTGCAGTGACATGATCACAATAAATTCTAAATTAGGTATAATTTGCAGCTACACTGCTTGATGCCACTAAGTCCTACACACTGGTCCTTTAATTTTTTGTTTTTGCAGAATATCCTTTCCACCATTAATTAAAGTTTATAATTCCTATTTCTTAGCTTAATATTCATATAGATTGGGTGACTAAATGTTTGTTCATAGGAGCCATGTTAGTGAATCTATCATCAATCATCTCTTCCCAGGACTACACAGAATGGTGGCAGGAGAGACGAACTGAGATGAGGTACTCTTCAAAGTGTCAGCTAGTGGACAGTTTGGCCAGTCAGCAGGTTCAAGGGTATCGGAAATGAAACT